CGTAGCCTTAGTCTAAAGGGTTTGCGACAGAGAGAGATGTCAAAAAATAATTAAATTAATTAGTTACATTTGACCACAAAATCAAAATGCTTGGTGAGGAATGCAATTAAATAACAATGATAATTATATTTTAGCATATAACATATCACTTTGATTAAAGAGTTTGTGCATAGTGGTGGATTAACCATTAAAGATACAGAAAAATGCTGTTACTTTAGGGCGGCTTTGGCATAAATGTTATATTGGGTAGTTGTCTAATAAATGTGTTTAGCACTGTCAATAGTACTAATTAATAAAAAAAACAACATATATGGCAGTGGAAAATGTCTCAAAAAATGTAAATTATTTTTTAAAAAGAAAACACTGAATTGCATGTAAATACAGTTCCATGAACATTAACAAAAATGTCCTTAATTTAAAATAAAATAATTTAATATTTAGGTTGAGTCTTGTTATACTGTTCATCTATTACTATACAGTGTTATTACTGGGTTATTACCGATATATTCTGTTATATAAAAAAGATTAAAGAAGTACTTTATTTACTGTTTGATCAGTTAATTGATGAAAGTAAGTCGATTATATGTTAAATAGAATTTTCAAAAAACTAAACAATGACAATTTTGAAATATTTCTCGTAAAGCGAAGATGGCAATAAATTGGAAACACTGCACCACTGGACTGATGACAAATAATAGGGCGGGATGTTTATAAGGAATTTTTTAAATCATTAAGATCCTAATTATTTGCCACAATTATTTGTTGATTTTGCTGGTAAAAACATTTAAACGCTGCTGTCACATTTTCATCCTTGTCCATTACTCTTCATAAATGTATCTTTGCAGACAAGTCTTTGAATGTGTTCATTTTACCTCCAACTTTCCTGGACAGGTTCTTATCTGTCATTTAATGTAGTGTTACTTGTCCAGTAGTGGTACGTGCTCCATGGAGCAGGTGTGATTGGCTCATACAGGCATGGGTTGATTTGCTTTTGCTTTGAATTTTATCGGTGGAGCACACATTTAAAATATCACCAGATTATGTTTGTTTAATTATAGGATGCCAATTGTGTGATTGAGATTAAAATCAAATGATCCCCTAACTGATGTATTGCTTTCAACTGAGTAACTGTTATTGCATGTTAAGTCTGAATATGGTCAAGATGAAGGCTAGCCAACAGTCCAACAATTACATACTGAAGCCCACCAACCTGTCAACAATATCGCTGCCAACCAGTGCAGGTAATTAGGGCTTCATTTTTGTATGTGAGCACTTAATAGTGGGAGTTCAGACCTGCGATTATAGGTCGTAATGGGTTGGCTAGTTGCTACGGAGTTGTCTGGCATTTATGCTAAATATGTCCACTCATCTCTTGTGTCACGAGGAGCCCCAGGCTCACACCATGACGTTAATAGTCAGGCCCCACTGCTCGTCTCTCCTCCCCTCCCTCCATCTGCTCCTCTTTTTCTCCCCCCCCTTCCTATGGCTCTCCCTTTCATTTTTTCACTTTGTTTCACTTACTTTCTCATTTGTCTTCTCTTTTTGCCTTTGGACAAACTGCATGAAAAATGCTTTAGAAAACACCAGAACTGAGACTTTTTACTCAAGTTTTGAGCACATGGAAAAATGTTGTCTCAGTCTTTCTTTGTATTTATGGCCTTTTATTTGTTAGCATAGTGTTTATGTTAGGGGTGGGTTACTTATGCTTTACATTGTAAACGATGAAGTACATTTTCCAGACCTATTCTAGTCTTTGTCCTCTTTTGTTGGATGCTTTCTTTAGGGTCCGCCACAGTGGCCCATCTGCCTCCATCTTACCCTATCCCTAACATCCTCCTCTGTCACACCAACTCTCTTTGTATTCTCCTTCACTACATCCATAAATCTTGTCTGCTGTTTTCCTCTTTTCATTCTGTCTTCTGCCTCCATATTCAGTATCATTTTTCCAGTGTCCAGTTCAGTTTCAATTACGTTTATTTTGTCTTCTATTGACTCTGTATTATGTGTGTGTGTGTTTGTGTGCTTTTTGTTTTCTTTTGTTTATTTTGTCGGTGGGTTTGAGCACACAACATTACAACTTTGTTATGAAGTGCTAGATTAATTTTATTTGCATTAACTCCCAGTAATCCTGATTAAGAAACTTTTACTTCAATAATATGAACTTGACAAATTACTAATGTTAAGTTATTAAAAACAAAGACTAAAACATGATTAAGTAAATGTGTTAAGAAAAAAACACTATTCATTTCCCAGTCAGGACTACAAACAAAACAAAAAACACTCAGTTTTCATTATCTGTGGGATATATTAATCAGTGCATCAGGTAGCACACGTTATAATTTTTTTCTTCAGTGAGTTAAATTATTGGAGTAAAACTATTTCTGCCATTTATGTTAAAATAACAAATCATGTGGAGTTAAATTTACAGAAGCATTTTCTTGTTTTACTTTGGACAAAGCTCACATGAAAGCATGAAATTCTCAAAGAATCTCAATGCACACAACAAACATGATTAAAAAAAAATGCTCTGTCTATATGAAATGCCACTCAGTATATGACTTTCATAACTTAAAAATGTTGCCATCATACTGTTCACTTACGAAACATGGTTTAATGTGGCATATTATTTTGCAAATGTAAACACTAATCACCCCCCCCCCCCCCCCCCGTCCCCAAAAAACAAACAACAAAAACCAAAACACAGCAAGCCTTAATAATCATTTCTAACATTTCATCTTTTCTCTTCTGTAAAACTATTGTTTTTTCTAATAATTGAGATTTATTACAACTATAGTCATTAATGTTTTATATATCTTATACTACATCATAAAGTATCATAATCTTAGATTACTTACTAACCTGAACAAATAAAAACATCTATTGAGGAACTAAGCACAAATGAGCTCTTAGGATGTGTTAACTTTAAACTCCCTGATCACCCCCACATTGTTTCTACATGCTAATCCAGTCTATCAGTAAAGATTGATGACTATGAACTATTTTTTGTTCATAAATGCAATCTCCTCCTCACAGAGAAAATGATGCTCACGCCAACAATCTTCATCACTCCACTGCCCAAGGGCGCTTGTCTTATCAATGACACCACAGTGGTTGGACATGGGCATCACTGGTATTTTGCCATTCTTCCATTTGCTGTAATCCACTGTTCTGTCTTTCCAAATCCAGAACCCAAAGAGAGTACTCTGCCTGAGACCAATCCAGAATGGACCTTCAACCGCAGTGTGATTTAGCCATTGTTCAACAGCCTTCTGATCTTCCTCATCCTCAATCCACAGCAGGCCGTTGTGGTTTTCCTCACAGTAGTCAAGGGCTCCTTCCCAAGTAGATTTATTTTTGATAACTTTGATTCTCATGTTGCCTGAAAACCACGCAAAAAATATAAGTAAGATAATATAATTTCAGTCACATCATGAATATTCTGCATGCAAACCTTCTACGCCAAAATAATTACTACTCTTATGTTGCAAATAATACTTGGATAGATTCAGTTTGTTCTACTAAGTCAATTATTTATATAAATACACATTTGAGGTTTTAGTGGACCTTTAATTTGTCTTTTCAGTCTTGCTTTTACTTAAAGGAAATATGGGGAAAAGTGCTTGTGTTAATACAATAGTATAAAAAACCCCGAATAGAATTGTGTAATTTAGGCAACACTAGAGCTAATCAGTTCAGACTGAATTGGTGACTGGCTAAGTTTTGTTTTAAAGACTCCTCCTATAGTTACTTTAACTTAAAATATTCATATTTCACAGCAAAATTATCGCTAATAGCTCCTGTCATAGTTACTGTCAAATTAGTTTGTTGAAATAAATAGTTACTTACCTTTAGTGCAAAATATTCCTCCGTCTATGGCACACTGCACTTTATGCAGATTATTCAAATCAAAGGTAGCACACTCTGGATTATTATTATTATTCTTCGGCCAGTTTCTGTATGTAGAGCAACTTCCATCTACCCATGTCCACTGATCGTGTTGAAGCCCAATCCAAAAGGTTTTGTTTTTTCCTTTTTCAGACACGTCATTGTTTTGGGTCTCATTACTGATGCTCACTAAATCAGTGTAATGTCTTCTACAGTACTGCAGTGCCTGGCACCAGTCCTTTTCCTTATCAATCAGTATATAATTATTATCTGCAAACAAAAGAAGCACAACATTTATTTTGTTTTATTTTTTTGTCATTCATTTAATTAAAATAACTGCATTTTCATCACAAGTTTTAAGGTGGTTCTGGCTTAAAGCAAACCCAGACTATGTTTAAACTGCATACTCAAGTGACTCAAATCAGACAAAACCTAAATGGAATATATCTCTGGTAAGGTGTGCTGTCAGAGTAGTCACATGATAATTCATATATTTTGGTTTGTACAAAAAACATTGTGCCTGTCATCATTCAGGGAAACACCTTGCATGGTTTTGGTATGATTGTTGTACTGAGCATGCAGATTAACATTTTGGGACCTCATCACTGTTCACAATTAATTGCTCACAAATGCATGAGTAGAAAATGTACACAAAAACAATGTGTCTGACAAAAAGAAGAAGGCCTTGAATATGAATGCAGCTGTGCTGTGTTGCAAACATTTAAGAGGCATCTTACAAAGTGTTGTTTTTGAATTAGACAAAAAGGGAAATCACCAAAATGCAAGCAAATATCACTTGCTTGATTTACCTTTGTAGCACATGAAAGGCTTCCTGTCCGAACAGTTGAAAGCTTTCCATGTTATGTTTGTCATAGCTTCACAGATTTGGTCATCACCAATACTAGTTACTTGTGAGTTATTGAATGCAAGTGAGTTTCCATCTGACCAAGTCGTGACACTGCTTTGATTCTTACGCAGCCCTGACCAAAACTGAACCCACTCCTCTCCAGGCACATTCTTTAAAAGAGCACCTAAGTCCTCTTGATCATACACAGTTACCAATGAACTGTCATTGCTTTTACACTTGTTCAGTGAATCCGCCCAGTTCATTCTGTCTTCATCTTCATCACTGAAAAACGAAACCCTTCGCAGATGACTTCCAACTGTAAAGTCAAAAAGTCCTATAAAAATGAAAACAGAACAGGATCATATTTTTCATTTGCCCAACATATATAATGATAGAAATAACAAACATTATGAACAGCATGACTGTTAAATTAAGTAATTTAGGTTCAAAATATGACAAATATATTTCCCAGCTATAAAATAATAACCTTTTGCCTATTACATCTCTAAGGAATATTTCATTAATTTACAAGCTGTTACATGTAAAATAAGAACAGTGACACATCACATTCAGGGAAAAACATTAAAAGTGGCTTTCTTTTAATAGAACTATTTGAAGGCACTGCTCCTAAAATTCATCTTTTATGTCCACACACACACACACAACATGCAAGCCAAATCAAGACGACGATGGGGAAACCTACCTAATGACAGCACCAACAACACAGAGGTCATCATCAGCACGGTTAGGGATAGGCTCATACTGTAAAATGACTGGCTTAGAAAAAAAGCACAAAGATCATTTAAAAAACAAAGTGGAGTCCAAGTCAAAGGGCAATTATTCTCTGTGGCTCAAGAATTAATAAAAGTTTGATTCCCTGATTATTTACAATAACTTATCTGTAGCCAGACTTTGTTCAGACTTTGTTTGTTCAATAAATTAATCCAAATTGCATAAAGTCTCTTACCTGCTTCGGTCAGAGGCCCACTGCAGTCAGTGTTTTGTGTTAGGAACTCACTGGGTTCATATTTAAGAGCGATGGAAGGTAACTGAATGTGTACATAGGAAAAACAGTGACGCCTAGAGATTAATAGTTAACCAAAGCCTGTCCTGTAGGGCTAAATGGCAGTCACAATTGTTATAGAAATATTATATTTCCGTATATCAATCTTAACAAGTCCTGAAAACAAGAAACACAAAACTGATATATTTTAACAGTAGAAGACAGACTATTCCTGGATTGTTATAGTCATTAAATACTTGTAAGCTATTGATAAACCCCTTGTATTCAAAAGGATACAATTTTAACTAATTTTAGTCCTGGATAATAATCTGTGCTACAGCTACACATTCCTCTGAATTTAATTTATACAAATAATCTACACAAACCCATCATCATATGGGACTTTGATCATTACTAGCTATCTTTAACCACATCTGACCTTCTTCGTTCTATCTAAATGCGTAACTCACATTTTTCCATCTTAGCTTTGATTCAGCCACAAAGTCAAACTCCTCACATTAAGAATCTCTTTCTTAAGAGTGTCCTATAGGTCCAGGAAAGCAGCATTAACCTAGATTTTCCTAACTCCTGCTTGAGTTTGAACCTGGGACCTCATAGTTATAATTCAACAGTGCTAAGCATTGAGCCACTGCACTGTCTCATCTGAATAAGCATTATTCTATGAGCAATAGGGAACAGAGGAATTTTTGTAAAGTTGGTAAACATGTTATGGCCCTTTTTTTTCCCCCCTTTTCTTTCTCTTCTATAAATTTCCCATCAGATTAATTATGTTTTTAAACATCACATTTGGAGTTTATAACTTCAAATATCAAATTACTTGAATCAAATGTAATCTGTCACAAGGGACCGTTGTTTTCCCAGTCACTGGGCTTTACTCTCCCTTTCTTGAAGGCATTTGTTTCTGTTACTTCCTGTGTATTGTGCAGCATATTTTCTGTTGTGGGTCATGCATTGCATCTTGTTTCACAGTTAGTTACCAGTTCATCTATTTTCCACTGCAGTGTCCGCCACCTGTGTTTTTCGCTCATGTTTCTTGTTTCATGCCTTCAGCATTTCTGCCTTCTTCAGCTTTTGAAGCATTTTTCATAAATTATCTTTCAAGTTTTTGCTAACATCAATTTCCTCACTTTTTTATTAGCTTGGTTAATAAAGCTCACCTTCTACTCATCGAAACTTCCTTGCATGTTTTGCATTTGCTTCCTGTTGTTCCTGAACTCGGCAATATAGTTACACAGTACACGAGAGCTACATTTGTTTATTATTCAAATCATGAGACTGGGAGTAGAGTCGGCAGCAATTTACTGTAGGTGTCTATGAATAGCCCTGTGTGTCAGGAGAAGAAATGCAAATCGGGTTGCAGGTTTTGGTGAATATTTAACTCTGGACTTGTTGAGGGGTTTAAAACGTCAAGTATAGAAATTTTTCTGAGCTCTGCAAATTATTTTCACATATAATTTCACATCATATCGCAAACCCCAAACTTCACCATGTGCAGACTTGTCAATAGGTTACAAACTCTGCAGACTTATGTTCTGTGATCTTTTAAACAAGTGTTTTAGATGTGATTCAAATCTTAAGATGTACAGCATACAATGGCAATAGCCTGTTATGTAAAGCAGTTTAGGGTTACTGTAGCAGTATTAACTTGAAGAGAAAGCTAACTCAACCAATAGATGCTTGTGCCATATGAATTACATTTTGCATTTACAGTGTAAAACGTGTAACTTGGAGACGCCTAGAAACAGAACATGAAGTTTGCAGTATGGTGCCATTTAAACAATAAAATAATTTTTCATCTGGGCAAAGAAGAACATACAGAAATTGCTTTACTTGGCTGATCTTAGCCACTGAACTCTGAAATAAAGTATGTGGATCACCTGATGTTGCAAATCTCTTTAACATCCACATACATAAGGAAATGGAACAGAGCTACACCCATCACATGCATCTGCATGTAGCCTCGCATCTGAATTTCAAATAAGATCTGTAATCTTGCAAATATGTCTCGCTCGGTCCGATTTACTGCTAGCAGTAAGGCAGCTCACAAAAAGCGATTGTAGCTGGAAGCACAATGAACTGAAACACCTTTGTCCACATTGGAAGTACCCCAGGAACAGGCAGAAATCAAGTTTAAGAGATCAGATTGATTCTCACGTCACACCATAGCTGAATCCCTGCATTGCTGACAAAACAAAGTTTCACGATTAAAAGGGCACGCGTCGCCTCACATCACTACAATAGCAGCTCTGTAATATACAGTAAATTTCAATGCTTCAATGGACAGCATTCCTCAAGGATTCAAGCCCTAGCTCACATTTTTTTTCAGCTTTCATGCTGTGCATCATACAGCCTCACAATGCCACACTAACATGGTGGTGTTAGAAGAAATGGGATTAATGTTGTAATTCAGTAATTTGACAGCCTGTCATAATCACAAACATTTGTGCCTCTCTAGCACTGCTTGGCACATAGCTGAGCAGTAGTAGAAGGAAGTGAAATCCTGTGGTTGTATCAGTGCAGATGTTTAAGTCAGCACTGACATCATGAACATATTTGCATATTTCTGACTTGTGGGTGAAAGGAACAAGAACAGCATCATAATGAAATGCAAATGTTGGCTGCTACGTTTCTATCAGAACTCTAAATATGAAAAAGCACCTGTTAGATAAGCTCAGCAATGCAACACTGGTAGAGAGGCCCACTGAGAAGGAGAATAAATCTGGTTCTACAGCGCTGTGTAAGAAATACTTGTTTTCAGTTTATTAACTGAACTGAAAAGAAGGCTTTCTTTTAAAAGAAGAAACTATTGAAAGATGTCACTGGCATTATAAAATATTAGGATTTGAGCACATTTAACCTCCATAGTGTCATTACTGCGCACTCCATGTGCTCAGGTGCTAACTGTGCACTGACCTGTTTGGTTGTTTCAGCTGGACTCAGGAGGATCCAGTGCTTCCACAGTGACAGCTACCTCCTTTATTAAGTAATTAACAAGTATGTAAATTGGTTCCCCAATTAAGCCACAAAAATCTTAAAAACATGAACGTCTTTGTGTTGTGCATGAGCACTTTTCAAGAATGCGTGTGTGCATAAAAGAGAGAAAGATAGAGAGCGAGCACAAGAGAGAGGTGTCGAAATGCCGAGACAAACTGAAGCATACTCAGGCCAACTCGGTAAATGAGGACTCAGGCACGCTCCAAGGAAACCATGCCCAGTGTGAGTAGCTGCTACAATTTAAAAAATGGCTTTTTAACTATAATGTTGTTACACAACACTGTTAAGAAATCCATAGTTTCATCGATTCTAAGGGGGCAATTCTTGAAACAGAAAAGCAAAACTATCTCCATAAAACACCACAGGAACTCTCAGAGACACTCAGCGTTTATCAGTGCAATCTTTGGACGTGATTATATTCATGTTTTGATCGAAGTTGATATAAAGGCAGCACAAAAGGTGCAAAGCTTTGAGGTTCATGAAGCCAGGTCAAATGCTTCATTATTACTGAACAGATTCCACGTACCTGTGAGCAGTGCAGCAAGGTGCATGCTTGGCACTTTAGCCAAGGTCTAAATCTGATTCTTGGCGAGTATTGATGCGTATGCACCCACGGATTGTGTGCTTGAAGTGAGGTCAAATGCGCTTGGAGTACTCATGCTCTCTTCAAGTGTGTGCAAGTAAAACTTTGATACGCATGCACGCAGTTTGCTCTGCTGTCGAACCTCCCCCTCTGTAGGCGTGAGGCCGCAGTGACCCTGGGAACTGATGCAATAGTGGGGAAAGCTGGTAAAGGGAGAAAGCAGGTGAAGCAGTTTTGCCCACGTAAGTGCTGTGAGACATTTGCCCAAGACTTTGCTTTTAAGCCCTGCGTGTATATTTGTGTGTGTACCTATGTGTACTGCTCTATAAGGCAGGAATTGCACAGAGTTGCTGATTGCCGGCCAGTGAGTTCTGGCACTAAAATAGGAGACAGTGTAAGTGTTTTCAAATGTATGCGAAAGCCATCCACTTGGCTTCCTGTGTGATGTCCTTAATTTAGTATAAGTGTAGTACATTACTGTAAAGATCGATGGCTGTTAAAACTTGACTTATTAAGTTACCAGAAGCAACAGCAATCAAGAAGTGAAAACACTGCTTTTTCATATGTGTCTATTTGGGCTTGAGTTGGTTGTGTTAGCTAGTCCACTACTTTATTAAAGACTGACTCTGAATCTGGCACTAAATCTACGGTTTCCTTCAGTACACCTGAAAATGCCTGAACCTTTCTTTTTAGTTATCATCAGGTCAAAGCTCAACTTTGTCAAACAGTTGTCTTTATGACCAGATTGTTGTGACGTTGGTATCAACAGTACTGTGTATTTATTTAAGACTGTGGCTCAGAAGGTAAGGTAGAGCATGCCATACAATAATTGGCTGATTGTCATGGTCTGGGTAGTTCTTCCTTTTTTTTTTTTCTTTTTTTTGTTTCTGTGTTGTTGGCGTTTCCACCCCTAGGCGAAGAACAACACAAAATACAGTGGCAAACTGTCCTACCTTTGTGACTGTGAGGTAGAAGCATAGTCTGAAGGGTGTAGTTGGGTGGCAAACGGTCCTACCTACTTAAATTTGTGGAATTCTTGCATGACTGCAGAAATGTGCATAAACTACGTATGGTAGGGCGTTTTGCCAAATTAGGATGGTTTGTCACAACACCAGTGGCACCTGTGAGTAATTAGGCTATTTAAGACCAGTGCTCACAATCGTTCCTCGCCAGAACATCTGCTAACCCTAGTTAGTGAAGGCTGTCATAGTTCATAGATTTAAATCATAGTGCTACTGTGGACTCATTGTACTCTCTCCTGTTCTCACAGCAATTCTCCAGACATTACTCACCTAACCGCTATAGCTTTCTCCTGTTCAGTCCCTGGTCTGCTTGCAGTTTCTCTGTGTCACTCATCTCCCCGCCTCCCTGCCCTGCACTCTGGAAATTTCAGGATTTGTGTGTATTGACTCAGACCACC